CGCGGGCAGGCGCCTGGCGGCAGGGCAGCGCTGCCCGTCTGCGCGGGGCCCTCAATCCGGCACGCGGCACTGTCAGCAGGCAGCCTGCTGTCTCCTAGACAGTGAAATATGGCCACAATTAGCCCGGATACAGTTCAATTATGATAAACAGCGTTTGCACCCTTTAAGCCGTGATTAAAAGGCCTCCTCCCGTTGATAGAGAGACCTAATTTCACATTATTATCGCTGTAGCTTGATTATAAAGCACTCCCTGGATTTACAGTTGGGAGATGGATGTGGAGGCTTCTTTATCATTTACACATCAGTAATGATGCAGCCTTCCCTCCACCACAACATCCATCCAGCGGCGGCAAGGAGAGGGGGGCCCTGCCTGCGCCCCCCCCTCCCAGGGCACCCTCTCCCCGTGTCAGCCGGGCCCCGCTGCCACACGCAAGTGGGCAAAGTCACCCTTACGGTAACAGCTTGATAAATGGGCGGGCGGTAATGAAATGGAGACATCAAGGCGTGGGGCGAGGAAGAAAGAGTGGTAATCGGAACGAGTGGAGCTGTCCCGAAACGGAGGGGAGCGGGAAGAAGGATCGCCTCTGCGCCGTGTGCTGTCAAGGGAGAAATTACACATTTACTCTTGCTTTTTCTTAAGGAGACGGCCCTCATAGATCAAAACATGGATTTACAAGCCAATTTTCAACATGAAATATAGACACCAGGAATCAATTTAAGCCCGGCTTCTATTTTAGCAAACGGTGCCTGAGTTTAGTCCCAGGTAAATAACACCAGCCGGAGCCTTCCCCCCTCCCCGGCTTGCCGCCCCGCCGCTCGCTCCGGCGGCCACGCTGCTGCCGGCCGGCCCCCGGCACCGGCTTCGGCGGCGGCCCTGCCCCGGGGCCGGCTGTGGCTTGCCAGCCTGGGGCCGGCGGGCACAGGGCAGCCCCGAGGGCCGGCTCTGGTGGGGATGGGGACGGCCCCGAAGCGCAGCAGTGAGGGGAAGAGCGCCGGGTGCCCTGCGGCCCCTGCGCGAGGAGGAGGAGGAGGAGGAGACGACCCCGTTTGGCTGGTGGAGGGCGGCTCCGGCATCACCCACTATCCCCGTCCCAGTGCGGGGACGGGCCCTTTGCTGGCCGAGGGACAGGGGAGCTGGAAGAGGAGGCTGGGGTGACCGTCACCGCGCTTGCTTGCGGGGAGGCAGCCGCTGGCCAAGAGCTGGGGGCCAGCCTGCAGGAACGCTGCCGTCCCCATCCACCGGCTCCCCCCAGGTCACGGGGCGAGCACCAGCCTGGAGGACCCGGGGAGGTGTCAGCCCCGGGCAAGCCTCTGGCTGCTGGGCATGGATATATATCCCCGTGCGGTGCGGGGCCGTACTGGGAACCCCACACCCACCCCCTCGCCCCCTTGCAAGGCACTTGGGACTGAGTGCCTGGACTGGTGGGGACACAGGGGCCGTGCAGCTCCGGGCACAGCCCCAGTGTTGGACTTGAAGCCTGATCCAGCAGCTCCCAGTCGGATCCAGGCTCTAACCCAGCATCTCTGTGCTCTCTCCACAGACGACTGTAAGAACATCGCCAACATCATGAAGACACTGGCCCATAGAGGCTTCATCTTCAAGCAGACCTCCAAACCCTTTTGATCCCCAAGGCAAGCCAGGCAAGGGCTGCATGCGCCCGGCGCCGGCGAGGCGGGGAGGACGGGCTCCAGCATTTAAAAAAAACGGCAACCGAGGCCAGAGGAACCGACACAAAAAATCTCAATTTCAGCTGTTAACTCCAGTAGAGGTTGTATATATGGGAAGGCAAATCTGTGTAGACCTGATGTGACTCCCTCTCTGGGCTGCTCCGGACATTATGCCATGCTAGCGGACAGCCGCGTAGGGCGCTTGCACCACATTTTAGACTCGTAGTTTGTTCTTTTTCTTTGGCTCCCGATTTCCGTCCCTCCCTCCATATCCCACCCCGTCCTCCCTCTCCCGCCCCGTAGCCAGAGCATCATCCCCCCCCCCCCCCCCATCTCCTCCCCGGCATGGGCCGTCCCCGCCTTCCCTTCTTTCTTTTCTCTGGTTTTGTTTTCAGGCCTCGACGGCTGCTGCAGCGAGGCCGACGCATGCCCGCGCCCAGGCAGCGCTCACGGAGGCTCAGCAGTGTCGAGACGGCCCCTCGCCCTCCCCGCCAGCCCCCCCCCCCGCCTCTCCCCCCGAGCGCCTTTTCCCCTTTTTGAGTCAACACTAACCCCTCTCTGACTCCTGTATGTGACAAACGCGATCCGTCTCTTTATGTTCAAGGTGAAGTGCCTGTATTCTCCGCTGCAGAGCCCCTGGCAGCCCCACCGCGGGCTGCGGGGCCCCGGAGGGCTCCCTTCAGTGGGGCGGGGGCCCGGCGGGTGGGCAGGCGGCAGGAAGGAGGTGACAGTGTCCGCGCAGAGCCCCCGTCCCGTCCCCGTCCCGTCTGCTCGTGCCTCTTGCGGGGCTGGGCGGGATGCCCAGCCCTGCCCCGGCCCCGCCAACCGATTCCAGCTCCACCGGGGACAGGCCGGCCGCAGCACCGCGTCCGTTGCCGGCGGTGGACGTGCCAGCGCGCGCTGGCCCCCGGCCCACAGGTACCCGAGCAGGGGAGCTGCAAATTGCCCCAGGCCCCTGACCCCGCTCCCCTCCGACCCCGGCTGTCCTCCCTCGGTTCCCGAGCTGAGGTTTGGGCTCCCCACCCCCCCCCACCCCCCACGTGCCCACGGTCCCCGCGGGCCGTGCCGTGCCCCTCGCAGATCCCCGCGGACGCTCAGCAGCAGCTGGCTTGTTGCCTGAGAGAGATGCCGAGCACATCCCCTCCGGCTGGGTGGGCTCCCGGCCGGCCAGGGTGGTTGGGGGGCAGCCGTGGGGCAGGCGGAGGGCGCACGGCCCCCCGGTGTCACCCAGCCCCAGGGCCCTGCTGAATGGAGCCCTCGTCCGGGCGCTGACCTGCAGGGAGGCTGCAGCCCCGGGCCCGTGCGTGCATGGCCTGGAGCAAAGCCGGTGACGGCAGCCAGAAGGGCAATACAGGCACTGAACTTGGCGGTACATGACTGCATGGTGTGTGGTGTTCCAGTTAAACCAACCGATAATGCAAACCCAGCATTTTCATTGTCTAGTTATTCCAATCCTTGCTGTAAATGTGCCACATGAATAAAGTTTGGGGGTAAAGGAGCCCGGGCTGTGCCCATGCATGTGCGAGTGTGTACGGGGGGCAGAGGCAGGGCTGTGCCACCTGGGGACGTGGGAGCACCCAGGGGACCTGCCCGGTGCCGCCGGGTGACAGGGACACGGCTGTCCAGCTGGCACGGAGCGGGCAGCTCCCGCAGGGAAGGGGCAGCCCCAGCCCACTTGCTCCAAGCAAAGGTCACGGGGGCTTTAATGGCTCCCTCTGTGCAGCCCCTGATCAGCTTTATTGACCTATTTTCGATGGAGTCGTCTAATTAGTTTTCTATGAAAACTAAGAACTTGGCCTTTGCCCTTTACTCCTGCAGGCGAGAATGTGACTCAGAGGACGTTGTCACGGCAGATCGATCGCCAGTTACACTTGAAAGGCAGCGCAGAGGGGACGTGGGGTGGGCAGGAGGGCAGCGGCCCGGCGCGGGGCACGCAGCCGGGGCCGCCTCTGCCCGCAGCGGGCAGGCTCTTCCCACCGCTGGCTTCAGCCACGCCTCGGCCCCTCCAAGGCCTCGCGAAACGTGGGGCGCAGGGACCGGGGGCCCCTCGCTACCGCAGACCGAAGCCAGACGCGTCCGCCTGCCCTGGGCAAGGCAGCACTTGGGCCTGACGGCGAGTGCTGGGGACAACACGAGCGTTTTCCCAGCAGGGACATCCCCTCACCCAGGTGAGGCAGCGCTTGCAGGCGTGGGGCACGCAAGAGCCGCCGGAGGGGAGCGGCTACACCGGGGCTGGGCAGCGCAGGGCCTGGGAGCAAGCAGGAGAAACGGGTCGAGCTCTGCAACCAGCCGGTGGCCCCAGGAGCTCTGCCCAAGCAAGCTGGCATGCAACAAACCCTGAGGAGCTGGGCCTTGCTCTGCGCCACGGCCAGCTGTGCCGGGGATGCTCAGCACAGGACAGGGCCGAGCCTGGAAATGCTCCTCCGCCACCCAGACCTGAAGCAGCCCAGGAGCAAAGCGAGGAGGCTGACAGAGAACCACGGCTCCTCAAAAAAAAAAAATCACCTTTTTTCTGGGCAGCAGGCACTGAGGCACCCGAGTGAGAGTGGCGGGCTCTGGTGAGCCTCACGCTTCACAGAGGAGGTTTCAGGGCTGAATCCGGCCCCAGGAGCAACGGGGCCGTTGGCACCCAACGGGGAGCCAGACTGGGCTGGGCGCCGCACGGACACAACGGCCAAGACCACGGCGGGGTCAGCACCCAAAGCCGGCCTCGGCACGGGGGGTGCCCCAGGCAGGCCGGAGCCACCAGGTACCCCGGGGGCTGGGGGGGTCCCCGCCGCACAGCGCGGCGGCCCACGCTGCGCAGGCACGGCGGCTGCAGCCATCCCCGCCCCGTCCCCAAAGGCCTGCAGAGCCCCAGCCCCGGCTGGCGAGCACCCAGGGGACGGTGAAGGCAGCGCTGACACCCTCTCCGAAACGAGCCAGACCTGCCCCTCCGGCCCGGCCGGTCCCACACGCGTGTGCTCCCGGCGGCAGCGCGCGTGGTGGGAGGCCCCGCTGCCTCCCCCGGCGGGAAGGCGGCCCCCCGGTTCCCACTGGGCGGACGGCAAACAGAGCATGGAATTTGCACGGCTAAAAGTTAAATACAACACACACACGGATTTCGTCAGAGGCCCTGGCACGGCTGCCTTCGTGGGATCCGATTAACGGGGAAATAAAAGGGCCAGAGAACCCACACAGCAGTGTGAACAGATGCCCTATAAAAATCAAATACATGGTAATCAAGGGGACCGAAAGGTACATTTAAAAAAACAAAAACCCACCCTGGAAACAAAGGAGCTGGGCTTTGTGGCTTTCCTGGGAGGGCTGCGGAATTAATGGGGAAGAGCACATGTGTTTGATAATCTTTATATGGCAAAAGACCCATCTTTCAAATATGTCACAAATTCATATTAATCACCTTCCTATTGCCTTCTGTGGCACAGCTATTCCAGTTGCCTTGGGCAAAATTGGGAACTGTCTGGTTAAAAAAAATGTTTTACATTATAATTTACAAGAGCCTACAAGTCTAGTTTCTTTTAATGGAAAGAACGATTAAAAAAAAAAAGAGAGGAATATATATATACACCCTGGTATATATACACTATATATATTAAAATATATATATATAAAAAAGACAGATATTGTAACTCCATCTGGAAAGAGAAAATGTTTGATCTTAACAATGTAACTTCTAGCTTTCAAACAGGCTCAGAAAACAAGAAGTCAGCAGGAGTTCAGATAAAGGAAGCTTAAAAGTCAAATAATTCTGACTCTGAACCCGAGACTTCTTAGACTCAAGGTCCTTTCCTTTACCCATTAATGGGCTGACTTGTGAGCTCAGGAACAAAGTGCTGCAATGTGAGGATTTCTGAGAGTCACTCATTACAGATCACTGAGTGGAGTCTGAGTTGCGGAAATCAAAGGATCCAATCTGGAGTAACTGGCTGAACTTCTGCTTGGAACTAATTTGTTCCGAGTTCGGCTCACCTTTCACCTCCCGAAGGCCCCGAGTAAAGTCCCTACCGGGGTCAGCGGCAGCCGGCGCTGGGAGGGGAGCCCCGCTCGGCTTTAATGGCCAGCGCCGGGCACCGCAGCCCCCAGGAGCGGGTGGACGGGGTAGGGGGGACGCGGTGGACGCGGCCGGGCAGGACGGTGCTGGGCTTCCCGCTGCCCAGGCAGGCAGGCGCCTCTCCTCACCTGGGCTGAGGCGTCCCCCATCCCCGCCACGGCCCCGGGGGGATGGAGGCAGCCAGGAGGATCTGGTGCCACGACCAGTATCTCAAGACCCTGGCGTGCCTTTGCCCATCCGCTCCGATTCCTGGAAAGAAATCTAGGCGTGCCAGGCAGGGCTCTGGAGTCAGGGTTCCTCGTCCTGTTCCTGGCTCTGCCACTCACTCCAACATCTGGAGCGAGGTACTTCTCTCCGGGGAAACAAATCTGGCTTCAGGGGAGCAGCTGGTTTGGAGGCGGAACTAATCCATGCTTAATCCAACATGTGGAGTGCCACGGTCGGGCAGGGCTAGACAGCACAAAGGGATTCTCCAACTCAGAGGAATTTGAAGCCGGGAGATTAAATGATTCCCCCGGGGGCCACCCGGCAGCTCAGTGGCAGAGCACACACTTGAACTCAGGAGTTCACGGGCTGGCGTGGCCGTGTTAAACCGCTGAGGCAGCCCCGGGATGAGGAAGAGGAAGGTGCCACCTGCAAGCGCCCGCAGTCAGGGCTGCAGGAGGCAAGGGAGGGAAAGGCACCAAGCACCGCTGCGCTTGCTCTGCAGAGAGCTGCTTACGGGCACTACCAGCGTTGCTACCCCAGCTGCAAGCGCCCCAGGGCGAGGGAAAATCACCCTGCTGGCAGAGGCAGGCTGCTTTCTCGGCCCCCCCACCCCGTGTCCTGGGCCCACTGCCTCCTACGCCGTCCCCATGGTGCCGGGGCCTGGGCCACGTGCACCCCACCAGGCAAACAGCCACCCCTCTTCTCAGAGCTCACCCCAGCCTGCCGACCTCCCAGAGGCCAATTTCAGGCACGGCGCTGAGCGAGAGGCACTGGGGCAGCTCCTGCCCAGGGCAGGGGGGCACCACCGACACCCGGCCTCCGCTCAGCTCAGCCCATCCTTGGCAAAGCTGGCCTGGGCTGCAGGCTGCTGGCCTCTCCCCCTCCCACGTCGCCCAGAACCGCAGGAAAGGTTGAGGGCAGGCACAGAGCCAGGCCCTGCCCGACTCTCTAAACATACCTGAGCCAGGCAGGACATGGCACAGCAGCCCCAGTCCCCTCCCCTCCAAGATACCCCTCCAGCCGGGATGTAATTTTGCACCCCCCCCCCTCAAAAGGTAGCATAAAATGGTCACAGTGTGAATGTGCTTGACCTTTTGTCTTGGACTAATCTAATTGTGTCGTCTTTGTGTAATCAGCCGGTAAAGGTCAGTGCTGTATTTAACATGGGGGCCCTTTAGGTACTGAATTTGCCTTGCAGTGAATTAACTTGATTATATTTCTTTCAAATATGTCAGAGACCAGGTCAGTTTAACCCTCTCTGTGCTGCCTGGGCCCACCCCTTTGTTTCCAATTCCAGGAGGTGGCGCTGAGGAACAAGTGGTCAGAAACACACACATGGGCTCCCTCCTCCTGCAGCCATGGCCATCACCACCACCTCTCCCACCTTCCCAACAAGCCAAGTCCCACAACACGCTTGCTCTCCCTTGAATCAGCCCGAAAAGTTTGCAAACCAGGGCACTCCAGACTGCAGGGAAGGGTGAGATTTCAGACTGAATGCAGTAGGGGGGAAAAGAAAAGGAAAAAAAAATAATAAAAAAAAAAAAACACGATTCAGAAGACTCCTTTACAAACATGAACCTGTCTCAGTGGAACGCTTCCTTACGACTCCATATTGTCACAATCAAATAGGACATCACTCAAGTCCAGATTAACGTGTCGCCTCTGCCATAGACAGATAAGGTGTTCTCAATATCCTGCAATACATGATACATTTTCAGGAAGTAAAGGTCTGTGCCGCTACCAGGGACAGTATGTCTGAGGCGTCGGGGATGCCACTGTGTGGAGACGGGCAGCTTTTATCAGGCAGTTCAACTCAGCTGTGCCAGGGGACTGCACAGAGGGGGAAGCAACCTCAGCTGCTCCCCAGGCATGCCCTGAGCCCTGAGGCAGCGGTGAGGGGCCCAGCAGCCTGCCCTCAGGGAGGCAGGGAGGAGAGGCTGGTGGTTCACATTCCACAGAGGTACATGCACAGGACATTGTCACAGGGCTCGCAGTGGAAGAGCCCCTAGGTCTGGCTTTCCTTCCTCGGCCCTGGAAGTAGGGTATAAAAACACCCCTCTGATCTGCAAACACCTCTCTCCTTTCCAAGCCTCCTGCTCCAGGCAGAGCTACTGCTTGACTCCAGGGACTTGGGCGGGTCATGGCTCATCATCTCAAGACTGCTTTCCCCACTCGCTTCCCTCTGCTGAGCAACCCCTACGGGGCTGTGTCTAGAAGGAGAATGCCTCAGGCCTGCAGCTGTACTGGCATCACTGTTGCTGCCCTAGTGCAAGCTCTCGTCACCCAAAGCCTTGCTGCTTTGGTCCACGGTGGCATCCACGTCAAGCCATCTGCCTGCATGCAGGATGTAGAAAGCCCTGCTGACCCCACCTATAGCACCAAGAACATTGTCCAGCACAGGAGACAAGCCCAGAGGACAGCACTGAGACCTGGGGGGAACAGGCGTGCTGTGCTCCCTTGGAGGCACACGCCCGGAGGGAGAGCAGGGCAGCACCCCCAGCGCTTGTCAGGGCATCTGCGTCGGAGACCTGAGCGCTCCCTGTTCTGCCCCCCCAACCTTCCTTCTCACCGAGTTGGGGGTCAGTGGTGCTCCTACTACATCAATGATCTGGTCCTTGGCATCTCCCTTGCTCTCCTCGATGCCGAGCCCTGCCTGGCCATCTGGATGAGTGCCTTCCGCACTGAGGGGGCCAATACTACCAGCTTTGGCCAGGGCCTCATAGCGGTGCCGTAACATCTGCAGCTCATATTCGCAGTTGGCAAAGGCTTGCTTCAGCTCATACAGCAGCACCAGGTCGCTCCGCAGCTCGTTGAACATCTGCACAATCTCCTCTGTGGGCATAGGGTTGAGATCTAGGGAGGAAAAGGCGTTCCGTTAAACACCCAGACTTGCAGCCCTACAACAGAAGAGCCCTAGAAGGGTCCTGGCTGCCCATTCACTCCCGCAAAGATACGCCAGGAGCCTCACTCCCATCACAGGGAGCATTAGCAACCAGCATCCCTAAGGGTTGGCGATCTGAATTTCCAGACTGTCCTTTGGCTCTGGCCAAGGACTAAGAGTGAACCTGCAAAAGCCCAGGACTCGGCAAGTGAAGGATGATGGAAGACGTAGATCAGATCAGACAACCGAATCGCTACCCACCGGGTTGTATGAAAGGAGCTCAGCCTTGGGAACAAGCCCTCACACACTGCTGCAGAGGACGGAAGAGCTCCTGCTGTTCCCTACACCTTCACCAACGAGGGGTGGATAGGCTGAGCACCCTTGCCTCTCATGTTGCTTCTCCCAGGGTAGGACTGAGGCAGAGAGTTGCTCTGCTGCTGTGTTACAGACACGTTTTAATGCAGACCTGAACTGCATATAACAGCAGCTAGCACATCACCTCCCCACACTGTGTATTATTCTGCAGGCCATCACACACACACAGAGCCAGGAAGAACTGCATGTTCTGGAGAAGAAGAGGACAAAGCTCCGCATGTTTCTCCTGGTACACAGCAGTGGCCCCTGTCCGCAGGGCTGCCCACATGGCCCCTTCCTGCTAGCACTGTGTTCACCCACACAAAGCCCAGATGCGTTCCTGCACTCCAAGGCACGGCAGGGCTGTAGCTCCTGGAAGCCCTCAAGATACATACGTTTTGTGAGGCAGGAGTGGAGAGTCAAGAACCTCTCCTTACCCTTGTGGAAAGTGAGCTCTAAAACACATCCTTCTCCAAGGTTTCCCTAGCAGTCAAAGATGTCTACTCCCTTAGTTTTAAAGCAGAAAGGGAAAATCACCCTGGTTGGGCTGCTTTCACCAGCCACAGGAGGCCTTCAGAACTGCACAGAGTCTCTGAGACAACATATCAAACCATAAACCTGTTGGCCCAAAAAACTAACAGGAGTTAACAGAAGTCAGTGCTGGGAGCAGGCTCAGTAATCTCTTGTAAATCTTTCTTTTCCTATTTTTAAAAATCCCCCCCAGCTGCAGTGGGGGGAAAAGGGATCATCAGGTGTCTAATCAAGGGGCACTGCACGCTGGGACCTGCAGTACCTGCAAACTGTACCCGCTGCATGGAGGGCAGCAGCTAGCCACGGGCTGCGCTTCTTCCCCTCTAGCTACGAGCGGGTATTGTACGTGTTAAGTGAACCCTTCTTTCTGCTGCTAAGACACTGGAGTTCAAGAGTGAGGGATGTGTGTTTACTTGCCTTTCAGCAGAGATGCTCCAGATTTTCACACAGCATGCAACCTATAAAGGGGGGACGAACAGTCCCAGACGCATTTTGGACTTGCCACCGTGAGCAGTAAATTAAGAGGGAACGAAACTTGAAAGCAAGACAGGGCAGCCCTGAACAATGCATGTGCTGTGGTCACTAACACACTTAGAAGTACCTCTCCCGGCAAGGCTGAGATTTGCCTTCCTAATACTGTGCTGCCTCTCTTGATGGTTAAAAAGGCCCAAACAAGAGAGAAACAAAGGCTCTTTTAAAACATTTTTCTACTGGGAGGAAAAAAAAAAAAGAAAGCCCTGTGCATCTTGTTCTGGCTTTTACCCTCTCTCTTTTTTTTTTTTTTAAAACACATAAAATATTTTAAAAACCATTCACATACTGTTATTCAAGAAACTGGCTGTATTACTAGGGGAAAAAATAGCCCATCTCGAGAACAAAGGCTAGCTCTGTGTGTCTCTCTCTCTCGCATGCCCCCTTTACTCACCTACTCCGAGTTCCATCAGCATCTGCTCCAGGGCTTTAATCTTCTTCTGTCCCACCGAGCTTGGCAGTTTCATCTGGAACACAAAGGTAACAGAGCCACACAGCTCAGAGATAGCCCTCACTCACAGCCGTCTAGTTCAAAAGGCAAGAGAGCTTTTCTTTTTATAGTGCAGGGGGAACAAAAAAAGAAAGGGAGAGAAAGGAAAATCAAGTGGTAAGAAAGGGAGACAGGGGCTGAAAGTTTTCAGACTAGGTCCGAGGGCATGTATTGAAAAGCCCGGTCGTGAGGGCTTTTATTTTCTCTCTCGTGTGTGTGCAAGACACGCTGTTTTACAGTTTCCATGTGTCACTGAATTAACAACAAAAGTTCTTCTTGGCTTCAAACCCTCTCCCGCGGTGCCCAGCCCATCAAAGGGCTCATTTACACAGCGGCTAATGTGCAATGCTGCCCTACTTTATTCGCTTTAGCCGGCCTGATTAGACTCATGCGCTAACAGACTCACTTCTCCTTTTACCTGCTGAGCCCCAGACCTGTGGGATTCATTTACAGAGCAGGCTTTATAACAAAGGGGACAGACAGAGAGAGCACAGTTACTTGACTGGCGGAAGTGTGAACACACATTTACATCGGAGCTAAGGGGCTAGGTGAGAGAGGAAGCATCAGATGTGAGCTATGAAAGAGAATCGGAGCTGGCCAGGAGAGGAAGAATGCATACACTTAGCAGGGTCCTTCCTCTGCATTCATTTGGGCTCTAGCAGGAGTGCTAGCTGCTCAGACCAAGCATTTATTAGATTACAAGCAGCACAAACGCCACTGGCACAATATGGCAGGGAGAACAGGTTTCCAAGCCCTGCGGATATACCCAAGAACAAATGAAAACACTTTCCTTCCTCAGCAATGCTAGAAGACAAACCAGGAAAGAAATGATTCTCATCAGAACCACAGTGTCACAAACACCTTACTGCACACAGCTGTAGGCTGCCCCTCCATAGCCAGCCCCGGGAAGGTGAGCTCCCACCTCCACCCAGGGATCACCAGCACCAGCCCAGGCTGCCCACTGGGCCGCTGAAGAGCCAAGAGGTGGGAGCATCCTGCAGCCATCCCGCACACCACCTACTGATCAGGGGCCAGACCAACCATTAGCCTGCAACACTGGGCTGGGAATGACCTGAAGGAAGAGCCATTCTTTACTCCACCTTAAAAGTGGCCTCTGAGGTGAGGTCACTGGAGGGTCCCACGCTCACCTTACTTCCCATAAGCCACAGGTTGAAGTTTTCCAAAACAGACAGCCCAATGTCAGTCTCCCAGATTAGGCCCTTCTTTTCCACAGTGTTCACTGCCCCGGCACACAAATGACAACAAGAGACACCATCTGGAACTTCTTAATTCCTCTGAAGGCAGGAGCACTGCATGCACGTACCCAAATGGTGAAAGCATTAATCTTAACTAAGCTATGGCTGAACATGTCCCACCAGCAGCTCCACGACCGCAATGCAGGACCTGCTGGGAAAGCCTACCTTCTCCACCACACCATTTTGGCCAATAAACCGGAGTACAGACACCACAGAGCACCCCAAGAGAATGGGTCTTTCACAGTATACACATCTAGTCCTCTTGCTAGTTATTACCACCACAATTAAGACTCCAACAAAGGACCAAGAGGACTATCAGGGGAGGATTTCTAAGAAACCAACCTGATCCAGGGGATCCAAAAGACGCACTGTGGAAAAAAGAAAACCTGCCCTGCGCAAAGAGACAGCACAGGTAAGGACTAGAGGACACCCCTGCCCTTTTTTATATCCTGAGAGTCTTTGGCTGAGGTTTCTGCATAGCAGTGAATTTCATACTTCAGAGACTGAATCTTTACAGTTGACCACAAAATGATTGTTTTAGCAGAAGAAAGGCTGCCAAAGGTATCAGGTATTTGGATTTCAGTCAAGTCTTTGGTCCAGAGTCTTAACTTGAGCAGAACCTTATTAAAATAGGTTTTCCCAGAAGCTCTGCTGCACAGACTACCCGTGCAGGTTCTGCTGGAAAGCCCTGAGATAAGGCAGCCCAGAGCACTGAAACAGGAGATGGTTCTGTTTATTTGGTGAGTGCCATGCTGCAGCTAGCAGCGGGATGCCAAGGAAGTAAAGGTCACTCAGCACAGCTTAGCAGGAAACAATGGTTAGGCTGGAATATCGGGAAGACATTCCTGAGAGTGAGAGTCTTTGGTCCAGAGAACTGCTCTGCCCTGCAAGGAATCACACAGAACATTAAGATGGGTGACGTACCCAGCTCAGCCTCAGCTGGGAGATGTACAGGCTGACCTGGTCAGACTGTGCTACCCTTAACTTGTAGGACACAGAGTTAACAGAGCCCAGCATCTCCTCACTGAAGAGCTCTGGACACACAATACTTGTGTGATTATCACAGCCCTGAGAGTCTGTCTTCACCCCTGCCCCTAACACCAACATCACAGTCTTTCTAGCTAAGGACAGGACTCCTCTCTGTTAAACACCAGCTGGCAAAAGCTTGCTGGACTTCAAGCCAGCTTCAGGAACAAAGGACAAGAAACTGGAAAAGTTCATGCTTGGCTAGGCTAAGTGGACAGACAGGGGGTCTTGGTTTGTCAGTTAGAAGAAGAGCACAAGCTTTTCTCCGGAGAGGCTTCCACTAGCTCAGGGAACTACTGGCAACACAGACAATTAACCTGGCAAAGCCTTCCACTGCGATGTTGTGTATGTTCTGCCCACATCCCCCAGGAGTCTGGTCAGTGAATACTGAGCCAAGGTCTTCACTGACACTCCTGAAGATTAGAGGATGGAGCAGGGAGAGACAGGACAAATTAATTAAACTTCAAAGAAAGGAACACTGGAGATGCTCAGGAGGAGTATGGCTGTGAGTTTAGTTTAAAAACACATCAATTAAGCTTCCTTTTAATTCAGGCAGGAGGATCTGGCCTGCAAACAGGAAGGCTTCATTGGTTTCTCAAAGCAAGAGTATATTTTAATTTTACCATCATTAAGAAAATGTTATGATTTATGTGGCTGCTGTCAGACTAATATCTTTAGAATTTAGCTGGCTAAGCCAATTCATCTATAAGACTGATGAAGGCTGATTGCTCTCTATGCAAAATGTATTAAAACTAAATGAGCAGTCTATTACTCAAATGCTGCTGATAATCTGTTAGCCAGGGTCCGTTAGCTGGGCTGCCTTGTTGCAGGAGAGAAGCCTTCACGCCCAATACAGCTCTGATAAACCCAAGCTTACTTCAGCAAGCCCTTCTTTGTTTTGGTCTTTAAGTAGATGTCCGAAGATGCACCAGAATGCTGGAAGTGGTACATCACCTGCCCTCATTCCCAAGGGATGAGGCAGTCTGCAGGGACCACAGGTCCCAGGCAACCACACAGAGAAGAGCTCTCTGGCTCGAGACGTGTGCGCTGGGGTACGTGGTTTCTGCAGGACTCATCTCTGTGTTAATGAAAACGCCACTCAGGGCAATCTCATTGCTTACACCACGGCTCCTGGGATGTTCTTGGTGTTGTCATGGATTGAGTCCTCTGCAGGGGCAGAGGAAAATTATGTTCCTCGGAGAACTCCAGTGAGCAACCACAGCTTCCAAGGTGAATGGCATTTGCCCTTTTCTTTCCTTCCTTATACTAGACTATTATTGTTATTTATTATCCTTAAAGTCCCCATATAATAATAATACCTGGGAAACAGATTGCGCCCGTCAGAAAACTGATTAGCCGGGATTTTTGAGGTTACTATATTTTGGATGCTCTTCTCCTTTGACAGCCTCTCCCTGCAGCCCTCTTTGCAACACCAGCCTGTGCTTATAATTACACCAATGTCGCTTTTGATTTAAGGACTGTAATCCTTTGTCCTTGCTATAAACAACCTGCATTAAACACATGAACTGTGTGTACCAAGAGAAAAATAAATAAGGAGCTACAGAAAATTGTGTGAATCGACACCATGAAGCCACAGTACCAGAGCCTACCTATGCAGAGAGGAGCCTTGCCTGATCCTGGGATACACAGCTTCTGCTGGCAGGCACTTGGCCTGAGAGGCAGGGAGCACAGCGGTACTGACCCAGCCTGCTCTCCCCTGAAGGAGGAGGGCATCGCTCAGGAATTGAGTCGTGCAGCTTCAATAGCTGAGCAGAGCATCTACAGCACTCTCAAGGCAGGGGCTGAGAGACTGGGGGGTGGCCCTGAGCAGTTTGATTTCCACAGAGGGTCTCACCGCAGAGCACCCTTGAGGTTTTGAATGATACAGGATTTTTATGTAGTGTTTGAGACATTCTGCCAACAAAACCTTGCTAATTCACACTAATGACTAAGAGACCTGCTGCAAATGAATTGCTAATTGGCAAAATTCATTAAATGAATAAACACGATAAGAAATAACTGAAGATACAGCCTCCCCAAACAGAATTGGTTCATTTATTTTTGTGTGCCGTTCAGTTTTCACAATTTACGTTAATACTTTTAAGCATAGCTGTAAATGTACCTGAGTATATTTTGGAGGACTAATGAAGTCTAAGTAATAGCAGAGCTTGCAACACAGTTCCCCGTTGTATCTTACGGCATCACCACCTGGCAGGCAGAGACTGTCATGGGGATCTGCACTAGGAACAGAAGAGCTCTGCAGGATCTACACAGATTCAGCTAGGTCCCACATGAGATTATATCTATGCGGTCATCTTAAATGTCCTGCTCTCAATGTATCACTTTCTTCATAAATGCTCCATTTCTGGTGCTCCCAGCTTCCAAAAAAATTTGCACTCCTGTGCTGAAACCTTTTGTTTGGTCTATCACCAAAATACAAGGTTTTTAAAATTAATCGGTGGTTATTTAGATATTTCACATGTACCCTCCCTGATGCTGCACTTCATTTTAATTCAATTTTGAGACAACCTTTTCCTTAAACTCTACCTTCCCCAACCCTAAACAATATGACTGTCCTAAATCCATTAATACTAAAAACTCCACACATCTGACCTATACAGCTATAAACTGTGGTTTTATGCACCGGTATTGTTGTTCAGCATTATAATACAGCTCACTGACATTGAAAACCACC